TATATTACATTATCTCTGGCATCTTTTATGCCTTTTTCCTTTTTCCCTACTGTGTTTTTGATCAACTGCAATAAACTCCAAAGCCACAACCACAACCCAACAAACATACACATTTGTAACCAAACTTTTGAAAATGAGTGAAGGAAGTCACGTTTTCAACTATCAAGACAACTAAAGGATATTTAGAAAATGGGAAAAAAGCAAGTGGAGAGAACAGTGAAAGTAATTTCAAATGATCTGAAAGAAAAATAATGAATAGGAAAAGGGTAGATGATAGATAAAAGAAGTCACCTATTTTGAATATCCTCCTTCCCTCTCAATCTTTTCATTACAGTAGATATGCCTGCGTTAACACTAGTCATTACAGCAAAATTTCGAGCTTGTATCAGAGGACCCCCTGCTAGAGCCTGTTAATATATATCAATAAAGACCTCATTCAATGCTTATACAAATACTACACAAAAGAGGCTTCACGTATCTCAAGCTAATGCACTGATAAGAACAGGATCAATTCCAAGAAACACAAGAAAAAAGACCCAATTGAAAGTAATTCCTAAAGATGACACTTTTTTCTACTACCATTCCTGAAATTAAAAGATGTAACTAATTGATAAAGTTTATGACTTTTTCATCAGCTGTTTATTTTGGAAGAACCTAACAGGCCATAGCAACAAGAGAAGGTATCATCACTGCAGGTAAACATCAAAAAATTTGGAGATTATATACAGGAAAAATGTAACATGGAACTGAACATCCTCAAATTCATAGAGAGATAAAATAGGGATTGTTCATAAGGAACAGAAATTGGGACCTGGGCTTGCTGGAAAGAAGCCATGGCTTGGGGGTTGAGGTTAGCCTGGGAAGCAGTTGGCATAGAAGTGGAGACGTCTTTGGTGAGGATGCCCATGAAGTAACCCATGGCGGCACCCTGGGCACCGTTGATGGCGGAATTAACTGCCGTCTCCACCGGCAAAGTCTGCTTGGCCAGCCATGCCTGGAACCCTTTCTCCAACTCCTTGTACTTGACCTGCAACTGCTCTATCAGATTCTGCTGCGGCGGCGAGAATTTCGCCACAATCACTCCGTGCTCTTTTCCCCCCTCCATTATTTTCAATTTTTCTTTCTGCATCTGCCGCTTTGCTATCGTTACTTTATAAAACCCCAGTGTTACTTTCCCTTTTCTTCTTATTTTCCCACTTGTCTTATTTTTTCATATGTTTTTTTTGTTGGCATCCCCCATTCCAGCAACCAAAAAAAAAATTAAAAGCAATTGGGCAACGTGGTCCCTATTTCTTGCACAGGTGGCATCACAATTGGCAGCATATGTGGAAAAAAAAAAAAAAAGAGATGGGTTTAACTGCTGACCGTTTGGGACTTAACGGTCAGCAGTGACGGCAACATGGACGGTGTTAGGGGAGGGACAACGAACAAAAAAAGGCAAGTAGAGGGACGACGTTTTGGCTTTTTGGAGAGTAGAGGGACGACAACGAACATGACCTTAGTAGAGGGACAAGAACGAATAAAATATTAAATTAGAGGGACGACAGTTGGCTTTAAACCATTAAATTTGCAAACAATTCTAATGTGTCACCTTGAAAGTGGAGTTCTAATTTTTTAATGTGATTGTGATCACACTGTCAATTATTATGGTTATCCAATTTTATTTTTTTTTTATCAATTTATAACTTTGTTTTATCAAATAATTAGTTATGATAATTAAAAATTTTTGTCTATATACTAATTTTAATTTATTAAATAATAAATACCAACTATTTTATCAATTATTAAATATTTTCAATAGTCAAATTAAAATAAAAATTAAACAAAATTTATAGCCTAACAAATGGCCGCATGACTATAACCACTGCCTTAACTTTTAGAGTTAGAATTTTAATTCTTTTTGGTTTATGTTATCCCTTTTTTAAAATATATTAATGATAATATGATATACCTTTTGTGATAATGACTTTGGAAGTGCAAAAGCAATGCCAAATGTGAAACCTTCTATCACTTTACGTTTGCTATATGGTTTATCAGCTAATTTGAAAGCATTATGAATGCCGCCAGCTATTTTAATCCACTAATGACATAAAATTTAACAGATGTATATGAGATATGACAAATTGACAAGTGACAATTCTTAATGAGATCAAACCTTGCATGCCAATGTCATTCTAATCTATTGCCCAATTTTGTTTATATTACTCTAGTTTTTTTCTCTTTAAATATACTGTTTCTCCAATCAGCAGATGATAAATTGTGTTGTTATGGGAATAAGTTCTATGGTTCTAGATTATATCCTTTCAGTTGTTTGAAGGCAAGAAATAAATCGAGTGGAAAAGGTACTTTGGGGTACATAGTTCATGTCGTTGCTCAACTCCTAGGCTGTGAGGAAACTTTTATACTGGCCTTTAGTTATGCTAACTAGTTGAATATGTTGATATTTCATTTATGAGGAATTAATTCTAGTAACTACAAGATAGCTATAAAAAAAATTGACCATCAAACTTGAATAAATTGAAGTGTTGATCCTATAGACAACAACAGCAAAATTCATCCATAATTAATGATTGTTTAATTGTAATATGTGGTCATTTGCTATTTTAAAAGACACTTGTGATTTGGACTCTTAAATTCCAAGTTCAATATCTCTCATTGACACTTTTAACATTCTAACCTTTAATCATTTTTTTTTTATCAAAAACCAAAAAATTTGTAATATGAAAAATCAGACTTGGGAACTCAACTGGCTAAGTACGGTCCATAACAGTGAGCACACCAAGAATGTCAGACTGGAAAGAGGTTTTCGATTTCTTCCTTGAAGATCCGACGGTGGTCCCTACCTCCCTTGAGCCTGGTGATCAGGAATTGAGAACTACTGTGTTCGAGAAACCCAGCAGTTGGGTTCAACGAACTCGAGCTGGGTTCAACGGAATCAGATCTGTTGAGTTCACAAAAAGAGAAAGAAAGGGGGAAGAAAATGGGGGTATTAAGGTAATTTTATTATTTTTTATTAAATATATAAATATTAGTCTAATTTAATATTTAATTTGACATTTTTATTTATACACTTAGTAAATTATAAGATATGTTATAGTGATATTATAAAAAAATTGAAAGAAGATGTCATATGGATGAATTTAACTATCATGTTATATATAATTGAT